TGGTTCACTATTTGATACAATTTGCAACAAAATTAGAGCAATTTAGATAATTGTGCCTACTCTCTATTCTGCTATTAGAACAGTGGGAGACTTGTGTTTGGCACTTCATTTGGGCGCCTATGGTGAGTGGGCTTTGCAGCGAAGTTTTTACAGAGGGCAATAAGCTGCTTCCATAACATTGCACGGTTTAGGAATATTGTGATTCAAGTCTATACTTTGCTTACAAAATGTAAGAAGGCGAATATAGTGAGCGCAGTAATTTATGCCAATTTTTATATTTCACTTGTGAGGTATCATCAGCTTAGGCCTTGTAAAATATAGGGATTTATTTTACCGGAAGTGCAAGGCTGAAATAACTCCAAGTATGGTATACAATGAATTCATATAGTTTCTGGGACCCTTAAATCGATACTGAGGTATGGAATATCTTATTCTTATTGGAACAATAAAAAGTAAACAAATGAGTGATCAAATACAAAAAGGAATTTGAAAAAATTCGAGGGGATAAATGAACGGCAAGCCATGGTCGCCGGTGTCTGTTTTAGATCTGGCACTTTATGACGATGACGACTTGTCCTATCTCGTTATTTATGCTCCTTTGAGTAAACCTCGCACTTTTTTCCTTCCAGCTTTATTTGTTTGGGTACGCTTGTGTGACTGAGTTGTGCATTATTGTATGAGTATCATTGAACAGTATTGTCATGAGTACATTTCTTTGTTGACGCTGAATCTTTGGACGTTGATGTTATTGTATTTCCCCCCTTAAATTTTCCTCCCTGATCTTTAAAGTTAATCTTATCGTCGGTCGCCAGATAAAACCGTGAATTTCACAATATTCTTCTGAAAATCTTTGTTTTATTTGCATATTTTGATAGTGCTCGGTGAGATACATGTCCCTGTAAAAACTATTTTTCAGTTATCTCAACTCAAACATGTAATCTGACATATAAGAAAATCATGAATAAACATCGTGCCCCAAAAGTCGCCTGATGAAACCGTGAATCCAACACCTGTGGTTTATGTCGGTTTATGGCTCGCGGGGCTGACGGTTGGTGCCGTAAACGCCTCTTTAGACCATTGAAATATGAGAGAATGCGTTTAGCTAACACATTGGTCGATCAGTATTTACGGTTTCCAGGCTAAAGATTATAAATTATGATGTCGACTGCATGTGTTTTGCAGAAAACCTCTCTGCCACGTGATTAAAAAGTGTGTTTCCTAGGTGTAGGACTGGTATTGTTTTACAACGACGGTCGCTTTCGAAAATGTAATGAGTGTGCCCGTCTAGTTGTAAGTTATACAATTTTGATCTTGCTCGTTTGCCAAACAAACAATAAATAAATAAATAACCTAGTCAAGTATAAATTACACGTGTATTTCCATGTTGAATCACAATCCAAATCTTGTTTGACATTAAAAGCTCACTGATTTGACATCAGAGTTCCCTAACTAGAGAAGAAATTTTGGGAAGCCGAGCAATGTGAACCACTTTGGACATCAAAGAATGCTGCAGAAAATCCAGCTTGGAAATAGTAGCAGAACCAGACCTCAAGG